CCCCCTGTAGATTGTTGCCATTGCTCGCTTTCAAATCGTTGAGTTTCTTAATCAAAAACTCATAAATGCTTTACAAAATATGAAATCGATAATAAAACAAATTCCAAATTTCAAATTTGGGCTTCCACATGCCCATATTCGCAGTAGGATTACATCATTCAAAATTCGATGCCTCTATGTACCGTTGTTTTATCACAATGCGAGAAATATACATATATTTATGCAGATTTTTTCATTATTTAATTTCTTCAAATATAATGCAGGACTCTAACATTTAGTGGCAACAGTTTGAAAAGTGAAACGGGCATTTATAGTGATTCAACGCAAAATCGCAAAATGAAAACAATAGTCCTTGGACCACTCCCAAAAAAACACGAATTTTAATAAAAATGTATTGTCTTTCCTACATATAATAAAACAAAGAGTCTGTCTGTGTGTGTGTGTGTCTTTCATTCGCGCTGCGCGTAAGCTAATAGACACACGGCTACGAAATATGGTACAGGTGCATCTAGACAAGAGCCAGTGCACCTCGAAGCGATGTTTTCGAAATTAGAATTAGAATTTTTTTTATTTTATGTTTGTGACGAAATCGCTTCATTTTCAGACATAATGAGCTATAGGAAAGCGAGATTTTACGCGCTCCATTTTCACAACTTCACTTAGCTATTTTACGAATTTAAAATAAATTTCGTGTTTCAATAAATCGATTAAATACGAATTTATTTAACAAAGTGAGCTTAACACCTTTTCAACGGGATTTTTTTAAAAACCGTTTATGTTTAAAAATGTACAATTTTATTTTTCTTTGATTTTTGGACACGTTAAACTTTCATCCTTGCGACTGCTTATACAAAAAGAATTTTGAAAAAATGATAATATTTTGCATTTTTAAAAAAAAAAATTTAATGAAGCTTCCAAGTACACTTCTCACATCTCATATCTTTACAAATGTGATTTTGGCAATGTTCCAACTTAAAATCTCTAACGGGATAAACTGATGTCGCTTTTCCCGCGGCGAGGGGAAAATATAGTTAGAACACACAGGAACGATGATATGGTAAGACGTGTAGATACGGCACTGTGCCGCGTATATTTCATATTTGTTTCAATTATGTTGTTATTGTTTTCAATAAATAATCAAAAGACAACTACTGTAAATTAAATGACTCAACAGTTCAGAACGAAGATATCACAGCCAACAATTTTCCTTTCTTATTGTTGTTGATAGATTTTTGAAAAAAATCGAATCATTTTTAATAGTTTCATTCTTTTAGAAATGTGGGTTTGGCAACAATTTTTCATCCTATTTCTTATGTCACTGTTTTTAAGAGATTGGTATATTTCATTGCCATTTTTTTATATATATAATACATTTTTATTGATGCTTTTGATAAAATTGTTCTGCAGAGTAAAATTCTGCGCGGAATTTTTTTTTTTTAGTTTTATGCTATTTTTTGCTTATTTCACTGTTTGTAACATATTGAAAAGTTTTGCATGATTTTTTTTCTTCAACGGAAAGTTGGTTAATTTTTTTTATTAGGATAATTAATCGTTGTATTAAGGGATATAGCTTATTTCTTTGTAATTTTTGGTGCTACTTTGGTAGACGGTTGCACGGATTTTGGCAATTTTTCTTTTGGCGAGTATACGACGACTTATGGTAAACCCATTGCTGGATAATATTTATGATAACCGAACTGCGATTAATTCATTGTCATTATTTAAAATATAATGCGTTTTATGCATAAACGTGCGTTACAGTTTTAAATTATTATTTATCGCTTCTAAATATTAAAAATCAACATCATTTTGCATTTGAAATAAAAATTTTGTTGTTTATAGTATTTTATATTATTTTATGTTGTGGATTATGTAATCAATGACGTCACCTTACTTAAAACGTCATTGGTTTAATTAATATCTATAAATTTAATCTAATGTTTTAAACATTATTTATGGCTGTTAAATATTAAAATATAATTTTGCATTTGTTTTAAAAATGATTTTATTATGAACTATTTATTATGGTTAATTTATTTATTAGGATAAATAATGTTTGTATTAAGGGATATTGCTTCATTGTAATTTTGTTATACGTAATAACTTTTTTTTTATGTAGTTGTTCTGCAGAGTAAAATTCTATGCAGTTTTTAAATTTAACGTTTGGTGTTCCCTTCAGCCATTTTTCCGGTACATTTAAAAGCCAGACGAAGGCTGGCAGCGAAGCTGCTAGTCTCTACATATAATAAAAGAAAGTGTCTGTGTGTGCGTGTGTCTTTCATTCGAGTTGCGCGTAAGCTAATAGACCCACGGCTACGAAATTTCGTACGTAGGTGCATCTAGACAAGAGCCAGTGCACCTCGAAGCGATTTTTCGAAATTCGAATTTTTTTTATTTTATGTTTTGTGACGAAATCACGTCATTTTGAGGCATAATGAGCTATAGGAAAGTGAGATTTTACTCTACACACTCCATTTTCACATCGCCATGAAACGTAGGCAATTAGCTATTTTCCGAACTTAAAATAAATTTCGTGTTTCAGTTAATCGATCAAATAGGAATTTATTTAACAAAGTAAGCTTAATACCTTTTCAACGGGATTTTTTCTAAAAAGTTTATTTTTAAAAATGTACAGTTTATTTTTCTTTGATTTTTGGACACATTAAACTTTTATCCTTGCGAACTGCAATTTTTGGACAAAAGAATTTTGGAAAAATGATAATAAATTTTAAAAAATTTTAAGAATTTTTAAATGAATTTTCCGAGTAGTACATTTCTCACATCTCACAACTTAAAAAAATGTGATTTTGGCAATAATTTTCCTTTCTTATTGTTGTTGATAGATTTTTGATGAAATCGCATCATTTTGAATAGTTTCATTCTTTTAGAAATATGGGTTTAGCAACAATTTTTTATCGTATTTCTTACGTCACTGTTTTTAAGAGATTAGCATATTTCATTGTCATTTTTTTTTTTTTTTTTTTTTTTTTTTTTTGATAAAGTTGTTCTGCAGAGTAAAATTCTTCGCGGAATTTTTTGTTTTTTGAGTTTCTTTCATGTTATTTTTTGTTTATTTCACTGTTTGTAAGATATTGAAAAGTTTTGTATGATTTTTTTTTCCTTCAACGGAAAGTTAGTTAATTTTTTACATTATTAACTACTACATATATTTAAAAAAAAAATTTTTTTTGCGGAAGTTTTCTGCAGAGTAAAATTCTGCGCAGTTTTTAAAAACGTTTAAAGGAACTTTTGGTACGGTCAGGTATTTTACGGCAAAAAGGGCAGCTAGCTGCTAGTATATAAAAAATTACGATGAAATATGCAAATCCCCTAATACAATTATCAATTATTCTAATAAATAAATTAACCAACTTCCTGTTGCAAAATCTTAAGAATTCAAATGGTATAAAGGAAGTTCAGAATTTTGTTTCCTAAAAAAATCGTGCAAAACTTTTTATATAATTAAAATCATATATAATTAAAACATAATATAAAAAATTACAATGAAATAAGCAATAAATCTCATATTTTCAAGAGAAAACAGTCAGCAGTCCAGTATCCAAAGCAATGAATGAAAAACTGTCGCCAAAACCACATTTCTAAAAGAATGAAACTATCATGAGAAAGCAATAACCAATCAAAATTGTGCTTTGTGGATGACATAATTCAAAATATATAAAACTCTTTGCCATTAGCTAATAAAGAGAGAGGGGGGGGAAAGGAAATTCTTTCTGTTATGGTGTGTTGTGGTCAATGTTATTTTAAAGAAAAATAATGAATCTCATGCCAAGTCTAAAGTAACCGATGTTTTTAATGTTTGCAAAAATTATCTCAAAGCTGAATATGCCCTGGTAATTCATAGGCATAATGAAAAACCCATTGATTACAAAACAATGAATATTGTAAAATAGTTAAGCATTGTTTATTTATATGAAGTTATATCATGTAGTAAGGAAGAAATCATATAAAATAAATATGACGGAAAACATACACAAAAATTCCCTTCGTGTATTGTTTCTGGAAACTTTTTTACATTTGACAAGTTTAAAATAATAATAATAATACATAAAATAATAAAACAGAAATATAAAACCGCTTGTGCCAAAACTTTCTTCATATTCTTGATCTAAGTGTTAAGTATTTAAGTACAGTTATTTGTGTTACGATTTGTACGCTTATACGAGCTCGTATTAGAGAAAAAAATGTAGGAGGGTGGATGAAGAAAATCGTTACTTTAAAAGAGGTCGATGCCAGAAAAAGGATTCCCAATCTTTGGTCTAAATTAAGTACTATACAAAATAACGTTTAATTCTTTTGACCACGGTAAAATTCATAGACTGAATCTGATGGTAACTTCAAACAAATGATCTAAGTTACAACAATATTCAAATTTTAGCATTTTTTTTCGGAAATTTCTGTAATATTAAAATATTTCTCACAGAAGTCATTCAAATTTCAATTAATAATTTTATTTTATTATTTTTAAAATGAAGTGTTAATTAAATCTTTAAGTTAAAGAGAAGGCACCATTTCTGCTTACAAATAAAACTATTTAACAATATAATTAACTTATACTGTTAAATATTTATTTTAATAATATAATTTAATTATTTTATTAATTATAATTTCAACAATATAATTAAAATAACTTAAAACTAATGGTAAGACTGTCAAAAGCTCTAAAACATTCAAAGCCCTCAACTTAAATACTCAAACAACTAATTTGCATTCTGGTGAGCATTGCAGAAAGAAGAAATTAGAGTAAAGGCGGCTGATTAAAAAAAAATACCTTATAATTTATGGCAATTTGTTTTACTACAGTATCTGTTATTTGTTTCAATAAAGTGTCAATTTCTTCCTACTCAAAAAAAAAGAATTTACCTTTTTCTTTTAAAATTAGCTTCTATGGCTCCGCAAATATTTACTAGGAAGAAGATCGGAGATAATTTTTTATAGTTTTTAAAGTAGTAATGTGCTAAACCTAAAATATTAATACTTACATGTTGCAAATGAGACTCCGGAAGAGGGGATTCAAGCTCTTTTTCTATATCCGGAACAAGATAATTAAGCTTTACAGGATCATTTACTGCATAAGGATCGTACAGGTCAAATCGCCTTCGGTGAGAAGCCTTGTACAAACGAATCAACACATACGAAATTATCCATTTTACCCAATAAATGATATCTAGAAATATAAATAAAAATATATCTGATCAAGAAACAACCACAACTGAAATATACCTAATCAAAGTTACCTGAAAAGATACTCAAGCACTATAATTAACATATTTCTTAAAACATTAAGCAAAATTCAATCTAGTCCACTGGAGCTTGGATCGTTTATCCGGTATTTCTGATAGAAATTTAAATTCCAACCGTAGCCCTCCGGTACCTTGCTTTCGAATTCAGTTGAGATTAAAAGAGGAAAATTTGTTATTAATGCAACATTACTTTTAGCAAGTAGTAAAAGTGCTACTGATACTAATGATTGAAGGCAGCCTCATTTCCAGACCATTCTTATCTTATCACCATATTCTATCTCGTTCATTTATACTTAAGCATCTGCAGTCCAGTAGAACGGGATATATAGAACTGTCCCTCCCTTTTTTTTTTTTTTTTTTTTTTTTTTTTTTTTTTTTTTTTTTTTGCACAAGGTACTTATTTTTTAGCCCAAAAAGGGCGTTAACTCAGAAGGACTACTAGTCTTGAAACGGCATTTTGCATTGAATCACTTAAATGTAATCACTTATCACTTTTCAAACTGTTTCCAAATTGTTCCGGAACTTCTAATTTTAGAAACTAAGCCTGTTTTCTATTAAAATCTCTCATTGCGAAAGGAAACCTACATGGAGTCACTCTTCTTCAAGGAGAAGGCAGCTTTTCTCCTTGAAAAAGAATGATCCCATACCAGTGTCCATCAAAATGTATGTATATTTTCTATAAAATCATTGGTAGATTATGCTGAATTTATACCTGATTTTCATTTATACCTGATTTCATACTTCTTTTCCACTTGTTAAAATATTAATAATACTAAAAACATTATTTTACAAATAAGTACAAATCATTTATTTCGCAGCTCTTCCAAATATAATGGCAGGTATTTAGATCGCGTATCAAGATACCTGAATAAAAATTCAAGATACAGGTTTAAAAAAAAATTTTAAAAAAAAAAAAAAATAGTAATTTGTAAAAAATTCGTCTTCTTGAAATGGCATTAAAAGATGGAGCAGAAAGTTATAAGTACTTCGTATTAAAGTAATGACCGCATAGGTCTTTGACTATATTTAAAATTTTCTGAATTAAATTTGCTACTTTTGGAGACTAAATGCCACCCACAATTCATCAAGGAGCCACCCACAATTTGCACAAACTATTATCGGTTCTATTCCATTAGAGCGGAGTTCAGTTAAAAATGCGTCACATTTTTTTGCTACCAATCGGTCGCCAAGTATAAAATTATAAAATAATAATAGAGTTCAAAAGACTAGTTCTGTAAAAAGTAATTTTTTTTTTAATTTCTGAATTCCTAAGGAAAGTAAATTTTCCTTTTTAATTTTTTTATCTAAAATATTCTACACATAAATAAAAATAACGAAACAAGACGAAATTCAATTTAAACAGGTGGCATAAAGGATATTCCGAACATAAATTAAAAAATAACAAAACACAACTAAATTCAACCTGAACAGGTAGCATAAAATTACAAATTTCATTCAATATTGCAGATAAAAAATTCAGTTTTTGAATATAACTTACGCCACATAAATTCTATCAAATATGACTCTGAATGGTAGTGAGCAGTGCCCCGCTGACATTTATCTCTCCATTTAGCATTGCCCCACAAGTGCTCCACAGTTTGAGTATGGCATCAAGTTTCGGGGTCTACAAAATTATAACTGTGATTCACAGTGAAATGTTCATACCTAGTATTTCTTAAATTCTCTTTCTTATATTCTTTACAGCAGACTGAAAATATAATGCTGCCATCCGCGTTGTTTTCCTAAATGGCAGTCATCAATGTTGTAGCACAACGATCGTAAACGGCGACAATAAAACATTCTTTGCTTTCCCGGCATAAACCCCTGAATACCCATTGTTTCGGAAGAACATGTCCAATGTTGTTTTTACTTCATTGTACGAAGTAAAAAGAAAGTATTGTAATCTCAAAAAGTTTCAGGCAGCATATTTCAACGAAAATATCTATTTTGACCGCTATCGAATGAAATTTAACGATGTTTTTGCGTGATAACTGTACGTAAGGACAGAATAAAAGACTCTTTCTATCCTCCAAAAAAAAATTATAAAACTGCTTTAAAATGGAATTGTGAAGAGATTTTCGTGGCGTTCTGAACGTACGTATATACGTACACATATGTACGTACGTATGTATCTGGCATAACTCAAAAACGAGTAGCCTCAGAACGTTGAAATTTTGTATATAGAACTGCTAGTAACATGTAGATGTGCATCTCGTATTTTGGTTGCAATCGGCCGCACCAAACGTATATATAAATATATTTATATATATATCCACTCTGTTACCCGGCTCAGTGGTCTCAGTTTCTTTACTCTTATATGTTTGTAAATTGTACATTTTTTGGCTTTAAAAATGATTGAATTATGTTGCTCTTATCTTCCGGTTAAGGTTTTTATGCCTTTAGTAAATCTGTATGCAATATTTTTAGAATTATCAACAATTTTAAAGTTGTTTAAGTGCCGCTAAGCCTAATAATGTTTTTGATGGCAGCCATTGCTTGTTTACATTTGAAACAGCAGACTAGTGGATTTGTTGCCAATCTAAAGAAACTTAGCTTCGCAACAACAAAGGTAACGCCTTCATTTATTATTACGAATTAAATCATGCTTAATCCTTTCTAGAATTTTTTCGAGGAAATAAGTGTTTAAGATTTACTTCGTAATTTTTAATACAGATATTTTGACTTTTTATGTATTTTTGCTTTGTCGCGAAGGGAGAACTGAATTAATTGAATGAGAACTACTAGTCTGTGAAAAACTGTTTCTTTTTTGCTTTGTTTGCTTAATTTCTTTTATACATCGTTCTAGCTTTATTATAGTATTTGAATAGAACATGTGGCAACGATTATATAATTCTTTAAATGATATAAATTTTTTGCATTCTGAGTTATAATATGAACGAAATATAATACTGTTAAGTGAAGGTAGCGCCAGAGGGTCGCTATGGTAAACAAATAGAGTGAATTTTAAAGAATGCATTTATTCTATTGTGGTTTATGCGATGTCGGCGAAGTAGATTTAATTCAATCCAATAAGTGTAAATGAAATGGAAGAAAAAATGCGTATAATTTATTATTCCGTACAAGGAAGTCATGTGGTGTACACATCAGATTTTTTCTTTTTGTGAAAAGACTTCCGTCTATTTCTACGATTTTGTTGGCTCTACCGATTTTATTTCTTTTACAAAATATCAACCTACTATTTGCAGATTCCTCCCTCAAGTATTTATTTCAATTTACTCTCGTATTATGAATGATTTCTAACTGAAATTGGCAAAACTTAATCGACGTCACTTCCTGACACCACAGATAGATAAAACGAACGGCATTTAAGGAAAGAAAGACGCGAGTGTTTAAGAAATGCTTTGGTTCTCGGTCCTTTTTTTTTTCAGAGCCAAGAATGTAAGTGACAACGCCATAAAGGAGCTTTGTGAGTAAAAAGTTAACTTCATCGGATGATTTTGAGAACAAAGTCTATTGCTATGAATTATTCCTTTGTCCTGAATGAATCTTACGGTAGCCTTTTTTGTCATTAAGTAATTGCCAAATTCTGTAATCCATCGTATTAAAAAAATTGCGCAAAAAAATAACGAATGACGATATTTCAAACGAAAATTAGAAATCTCGATCCACGATATTTCAAACTTAAACTGAGCCACGATATTTGGCGTGGTTGTTAGCGCATTTTTAAATGACGCCGCTCTAACGGAATTGTATCCTACTATTTTAGCCTTAGATATTGAACAGAAAGATTCTGTCTGTTCTTGCATAAATTTATTAAATTCTACATTAACCCTTGCTCCTTCCTCAGCTACGCCACTGTTTTCTAATGCGACTATACGGCATATCGAAGCTCTCATGTTTGATTTCGGAGGATAGGCTGTAGAGTCATTAGTTTTAAAGCAAGAGATGTGGAAAATGTGCACCCACCGTTTCAGTTCGGTCCTTCGTGGGGGGTCCTAAATTCCTTGTGCTTAATAATTATATATATATATAAACCTGATGTTAATTCAAAATCCAGTATTAATGCAAACCCTGTGTCCAAAAATGTTCTTGACAATGATATTCCTGTCAAGAAAAATGCTCATGCAGCTAAAGGTAAATCATATTCAGATGCTACTAAAAATACTCCTGTTAATAATTCCATGTCAAATCCTGTTACTAAAGAAAGTGTTACTAATACCAGTAACTCAGGAGGCTCTGGTCTCAGTGTGTTAGATTGTTATTAAATTCTTCAAAGAACTGGGTAAAATATTTGAGCAAGTTTTCCTTCTTGACATTCTCAATACAATTTCTGCAAAAATACCTGAAATTCAATTTTCCAGCAATTCCATGGATAAATTATTTATTGTCTTTTCGATATCTGAGGATATCTTTGGTGCAGGGCACAATAATTAATAGGCTATTTCAGGCTATGTTTGCATGAATTTTATATGTATATGCCCTTTTGTCAGTGCTGTTAAATACTTATTACTTGTATATTCTACCAATATTTGTATAGATAACTCAATGTATTTTCGATGTATGAAGACATCTTTTGTATCTTGCACAAATACTAATATACTCATACTGATCCTGTCTGTTTATACAATATGTACCTAATCCTATTTTAATAAGGATCTTGGTAATCATTTAAGTGTCTCTTGAACTTGTATTTATTATGCTATAGCATAAGTAACTGCTGTAATTCTTAATGGATTCAGAGTGTTAATTGTTTTGCACTGCCTTCTAATATTTTTTTCTCATAGCTACATATTTCACTTGATTACCAGTTCGACGGCTCTGAGCTTTGTCCTATTCGATTTAACTTGGAGTAATGCTTTACTTTATTATTTTAAAATGATCTATTAATTAATTAATTAAAAAATTATAATGTACTTTTTAGGTTATTACCTTTCATCATTCGAAATTCCCAACCTTTCTACAA